TGACTTTTTGTATGTATGGGTGTACACAGGATAAAAAGTAAATCCGAGGTCAAAGACAGTGCCCTACTCTTCATTAGTGTAAGTCTCCTCGTCTCCCAGACACAAGCAAGCTGAAGGAAGCTGGCGTTTGCATTTTCCAGACACTGAAGCAGGAAGCAAGAGGGATGGGTAGTGTGCATTTATTATCCCTCCTTTCCTAGTAGGATATCAAATGGTGATATTGAAAATCACCTTAAATATCAAAGCTTTTAAAAAATATTGTTGACACTTTTTAGCTACTACACTGAGAACCTGATAAAATGAGCTTTCTCTGATTTTCCATATTAACTAAAAACATTTATTTTAATCAGGATGGGGTTGGATTTTAGATGAAATTCATCTCTTCCAAGTCCCAGTGGAAACTTAAGATGTTTATTCTCAGAGTGACAGACCACAGGGTGAATATGGCTCATGAGTGTATCTGAACCTTACTGCCAGCCAGAGGGAAGGCTCCCCGTGTCCATCTGTCCTCCTGGGACTTTGTCAAAGGCACAGTCACCTTGATGAATGGAATGTTTTCATTTTCTTATTGTTTTGATGTCATACCCCGAAAATTATTGTTAAGATTTTTCACCCTCAGCCCTAATTACAAATCGTTTACATCATGTTCAATTGTACTGTTTTAATCCTCACTAGTGAAATTAATTTGAAATGTTGCCACATGTTTACCTCAAATTTGTGGGGAAAGCGTGTGTGCTGGAATTACCAACGCAAATGTTGCAGGATTTGGTTTGAATATAAATGATGAGAAGATAACATGTGGTGTATTTATGATTGCATTAGGATTACATGGAGTACTGTTTTGACAGTGTTTGACATGAAGAGGGACATACTGGCTCCGGAATTTGTCAGTGCTAATCAGTGGACAGACCTGGCATCCAGGAGGCTCCCTTGCCTTGGTGGCAGCAGGAACCATGGTATCTGGCACCTTGCTGTGACCAGTGGCTGCTGTGTTGTCAGCCTCAATGCCAGCCCTGTCTGTCACCTCCCCCAATGTTGGTAGATCATGGGCTGTTTTCTGCCCTTGAATGCCATTTTTCTGCCATCAGCTTTGGAATTAATGACTTTATCCTTTTCCAGCTATGAATCCATTATGTTAATCTCAGAAAAGAAGGGGCCATGCTTTTAAATTCAGATATTAGTGCTTATTTTACTGCCAATGTGTTTTAAAAGTTTGTATAAATGTATTCTTAACTATAAAATCTGTAATAATTTATACAATAGAATGAAAACATGGAGGCTTTGAGACTTCATGTAAAAGTGGTCAAAAATATACTACAAAAATAACATGACTTTTTTTCTATGATGCTAGACATTGTCAGGAAAAAATGTTTTTTTTCCCCCAAGATAAATGATGGCAGGAATTTGATGTTACTGAAATTGTAGGAAAATGCAGTGGCATATGATAGGTATGAAGACATTACTCTGAGAAATGAGAAACAATTTAAGTGTAAGTGGTTAGAGAAAAAAAGACAGTCATGGGGGAAATGGGAAAAAAAATCTCAAGGTAAACAGTTTCCTATGTATGGATTTTGTAGTGAAGTGGAAGCTTCAGTTCCTTTTTGGAGTTCTTATGTGTAAAGATGGATGTTCACTGAGCTTGACAACCTACATAATAACATGAACAATGAAATTGGATAAAATTACAAATATTTCTTTGTTGTAACCTGCTACTCAGGAGATCCTTAATTTGTTTCACCTGTAAACTTTCCCCCTCTGCACAGGCAAGGTATTAAGCACTGTACCTGGCCATCATTTTCAAATACCCTGTTGTGGCTTGAAATAATGGTCTCTGTGGAAAGTTGGTCTCAGAAGAATAGTTCAGAAATTGATATCCTTTTTAAAATGAGCCAATGTGAGGTCCTTCCCCAGATTAATATCTGATGCTAGCTGTTTAATAAAAGTTTAATTGTTTAAGGCTGATGGGCTATTTGAATAATTAATTGACAAGACTGTAAATTATTATTATGAACAATACTAAGCTCTATGGTAAGTGTATAGTAGCTGCTTTTTCAAAGTTCATGCACAGTGATGTTATTGTAATTTTTGTGATTATTTTCTCACTTGTATGCTATAGAGGTCAGCTAACAGAAATGTGTTGATAGCTTTACTAGAAGCTTTTAAATGTGCAAAACTAACTCATCCTTGGCAGAAGTATGTGGGATGAGGGAGAAGGCCTCCCCACACTATTTGGATTATACTTCTCTGGCCTTCAAATTTGCATTGATGTTGCTGATTCAGTTTCAGAGAGAATACATTCTTGTCTTTTCATGTGTAAGTAGCCACACCAGCCAGTTGTATGCCGGATGACCTTCTTTTGACCAATTTCATGCTTATAAAAATTTATCTTAGATTTCAAGATATAATATATTGTCCTGAAGCAGGTTTTCCTGGAGAAGACAACAGAATAGCAATAATAATAACAACATGCTGGAACTGAACAGTCTATATGCTTTATCTTTGCTTCTCTAGGGAGTCTCCAATGTATATGGTGATTGTATGTCTGAAATTCATGCAATTTGAGTGATATATTAAGTATCCTAGATTTGCATTTCTTTTAATATATTACAAAATGTGGCAATTTACTTTTTGATTTTTTAATAGACTTTATTTTTTCAAACAATTTTAGGTTCAGTTAAAATTGAACAGAAAGTACAAAGAGTTCCCATGTAACTCATAGTCCCACATAAATTCATCACCTCCCCAACCATCACTCAGAGAGAGTGATACTTCTCCTTGGAGAGGAAATAATAGGATGGCACATTTCATGCAATCACTGAGCTTATGGTGCTACATCACTGTCTCTCCAAGTCCATAGTCTGCACTAGGGTTCATTCTTGGTGTTGTAAATCTCTTTTTAAAGATATGTTATTGAGGTGTTGTTGAGTGTTTGTCACAGGATTGAGGTCTGATCAGGGCCACCAATGCCAGCAACTAGATTCTGAAGAAATAAATATTTGATGAATAAATGAATCATTAAAAGTTCTTGATAGAATAAGTTAAAAACATGTGCTTTGTTTTTCTCATTAGGTTGTTTAGATTTATAAGTAAAAACCAAAATCAAAGACATAGTGTTTTTAAAGTAATAAGAGGAAATTCCTATTCTTTGAATACCATAATACAATGGTTATTCCTATACACAGAAATAATTCTGATTATTTTTGTTTTTCTTATGAATGAAGAGGATATTTTCTAAAATTAATTCTTGTATTTATGAGTATCTCAGGTATTCTTACATTAATGTAATAAGGGTTTTGGTTATTTAAAAAGACAGGTTACTTGCTTTGCACAGTATTATGATTTACATATTTTCCCTTTTATAATTTTTTATGTAGAATTAGAAAAATGAAGACTAAATACACTACCCAAATTTAATAAGTAATGTCTTTAACCCCAAAGCTCAATTTTTAACAATATATTTGAGGGAGATATTTCAAAAGAAGAAGAAAAAAAAATGTTCAATTATATTTTTTTGATATTGTTCATAGAAACTGAAATTTTTATCTGAAGGATTTTTTGTTCATTCATCTGTTTTTTTTTAAAAAAAGCTGAGCAATATTAGAAAGAGCCTGATTATCAGGGTCAGGGTTGTCTCATTTCTTAATCAAAGGAATGGGAGAAGGAATGGGATTCAAGAGGCAGGACTAGGTTTTCCTTGCTCAAGTTGGGAAATTGTTAACACTTCCAGCTGGAAGATTCCCAAATTAGGAACTCAATCCTCTAGATAAGTAGGATTTGAATAAAGTAGCCCACATCTACACAAAACTGCAATGAAGAATGAGACAATAGGAATCTATGCATTTTAGTTGATAAAAACTTCTTAAGGATCAACCATGAAATTAAAAAAAAAACATAAATAGCACTGTAATATGAATTAATATTCTCATTTATCCTTTGAGGATTTTTTAAGCAAACAAACAAAAACCCACATGGAATTGGACATACAAAAGTTAAGCAGGGAAATGGTCAAAACCAAAATGAAATGAGTTAATTGAACTCTTGAGAAATATAGAAGACAAAATCAAATCAGAAATGAAAACTGAATCTTAAGGTGCTCATGGGAAAAACAAATGCAAATAATAGGTGACCCCACATATTAATATTTATATTGAATCCAAATAGCCTAAAAATATCTATTAAAACACAGAGATTGGTAGAATGAATTTTAAAAGATACTTGATCTGACTATATGCTGTCTGTAAAATGCTTACTTCAAATATAGTGAAATTGGTAGAATAATAGAAAAGGGCTCATAAAAGACACACAATGTAAACACTAATCAAAAGATAATTGGGGTTACTATCCTAACGTAAAACAGCAGATATAGAGCAAAAAATTTCCAAGAATGAAGAACAACATTGTTGATAAAGGGGTCTATTCGTAAAAAAGACAGCCATCTTAAATGTGAATCCAGTGTACAACAGAGCTTGAAAATGTAAAAAGGAAAGAACTAGAGAACTCAAAGCATAAACTGATAAGTCCAGCTGGCAACATCAATATTTCTCACTTCGTAATTGGTTGAACCCCACTATTCAGAAAAGCAGCAAGGATTTAGAGGAACTCAGTAGCATCATGAAACAACAGGATCTAGCTGCATTTATGGGACTCTCCACCTAGCATCAGAATACTTATTTCATACACATGGAAAATATGCTAAGGTAAGCCACATCCTTAGTAAACAATCCTAAGTAAAACAAACCTTGAAAATTTTAAAAAATTGAAATCAAACCAGCTACATTCTCTGAACATTATAGAACCTAACCAGAGATTAGTAACAAATGGCAGGTGATAAAATTGGTGAGTTTGATCTAAATGAAGGCCTTTTTTCCATCCCATGATTCTGAATTTGGAACATGGGAAAATAAATACCATTTATCTGACAATGGGCCAATGTGATAATGCAACATATTAGTTGATGGTTAGCCCTGAAAAATTGTCTCTCTGCCCTTTTTATTTTACAGCTTCTCTGTTAAAAGGACTAAAACATGCGAACATAGTGCTGCTTCATGACATCATCCATACCAAGGAGACCCTGACACTGGTCTTTGAATATGTGGTAAGAAAAATAAGAATTCAGACCTTTAAGATATGAACAACATTCCTATAGTTTTATCATAAGGTTTTGTTTTTTCATTGTCATATTGAAGTGAATATTTTATATGAGCATTGAGACATAATTTTGCATAAAATAGCAGCTCCATAAGATATCTTTGAATACAGTAAAAAATGTTACATTAAATATTTGTGTGATGTATCAACTATTTATAGTCTATTTGTTACTAGCATGCATTGTAATTTTTGTTTATGAAACAGGATTAAACAACAGGAAACTATCACTATCAAAGGAAATTCAAAGAGGAAGTGTCTTTATTTGGGCTTATAACTTGGTTTCACAAAAGCATCCTTATGAAGGTTTTTAATTTTTTTTTAAGGAAAGCTTGTTACTTACAATTTAGGTTTCAAAGTTTTCCCCCTCAGTTGGAATTTCAACTATTAATTAAGACATCCAATTTGCCTAGCACACAATGTAATGATCTTATTGTGTTGAGAGTATTACTGCTGGAAGACTTGGACTTGAACTCATAATTAATCTTTCTTCATTTCCCTTGGAAAAACATATGGTATTTGTGTAGCTCTACTTCAGCATTTAACTGTGGAATCATGAATGTAACCATGATAATTAACATCCCAATTTTCACAGATGGATCTGAGAACATGTAATTTATAAGATACAAATGACATCAGTGTAGTTTATTGAGAAGAATAGCTATTGGTATTGTGAATATATTAAGATTCCATTTAGTAATTGCCACAATACTTTTTTAAAAAATTGAAATACTTTCCATTTTTCCTGATGAAATGTAAAAGAATGAATATTTGAAACATTTTTATCTTGCTAATGTCTGCCTGTGTCTGTTTGTCATTTTAAAATTGTTGTCTTATGAAGAAACCATTCATCTTGTCTATTTACATATAAATGATAGATACATTTGAATAATATGGTAATGTGGCTACAAATACAGCTAGAGCTGAGCAGTTGCATATATTACATGCTACCAAGAATGGATGCAGATTCACACATCAATGCAAATATAATTTCTTTTGTTTAATCCATGATTTGGAGTCAATAATGTATTCAGCTGATTTAGACTTAGAACTTTTCATTTATGTTTTCCAGTATGTTTAGTTCACATCTCTCAATTAAATCTAAGTTTTTCTAACTATTCTAACTAACTTTTCACAGAAAGGATACTTTAAAATGTATTTATTACCTCCTTCAAATTGTACACTTAAATTAAAAGGAAAAAAAATAGTTTGGGCATCAAAATCAGTCACATTGATAGAGAAACTGACAGCAGTAATGTGAAAATATGTCCCCCGGATGTTAAAAGAAAACAAAATTTATTTGTGAGGGTAAAAACTGTGCCTGGTCAAAATGAATTTCATTTGGTGATTTTATATTTTGTGGAGATGCCAAAATAAGCGAAGAAATTCATTATGTTGCAGTATTTGCTGATTAGGACTGACTTTGAAATGCAATCATTTTTCTTTGTATGAGCGAGATTTTCCCTGATCCCAATTGTTGTACAGATATCTAGGTCTTCTTAAAACAGCCTCATAATAGCATGATGCATTGTTCTTCCAGTGTCATTTCATTCCTAACATCTCTTGTGGAAGTAAGAAATGCTGTTGCTCATCGTTTTAGAAAGTGAGACAAGAGATACCACTCATGGCTTATGATGCCCCTGCCTCTTCATTTCTCCATTTCCTTCCCTTCCTGTTTCTTGCCTGTTCTTTTTGGCTTCCTTTTCCTATTTTCTTTATCTCTATCTTCTTGCTCCTTCTAGTGAAGCACTGTTGGCTGCTATGCCTAAAATTGGTTAGTTTGATTTTTGTTTATTTTAAGTATTAGATGTTTCAGCGAGTCTCTGAAATCCAGTTTTTGGGAAAAGAAGAACTTTGGGCTCTAGAGGATCTTGAGTTTTGCCAGGCAGGGTAGAGAAGGTGTAGACTCTTCAGCAATATTCGCCTGATTATGTGGCAGTTGTCTAGTACAAAAATAACTTCCCTGAGTAAGGCCCAAAGTTTTTATTTTCTATTTTACAATTGATTGTACTTTAGAAATATTTTATGTTTTAAAAAGAATTAAGGTTCTTATGTACTTTAATGAATGAATCAGATTGTTCTCCTCACAGTATTTAGCAGAGATAAACTCCACCTTTTCTTCTTCCATGTTTCATAGTGGAAGGTGGAAGTAATTTTGAACCATGAAATGCTTTGGAAATTGGAGCAGATCTCTCTCTCTCTCTCTCTCTCTCTCTCTCTCTCTCTCTCTCTCTCTCTTATTTTTTTTTACACTGCTGATTTATTTTGTTTTATTTTTTTTCATTTTTAAAATTTTAATTGTCATATATGACAGCAGGAAACATTACAATTCATATTACACATATAGAGCACAATTTTTCATATCTCTGTTGTACACAAAGTACAGTCACACCATTCTTGTCTTCATACATGTACTTAGGGTTACGATGTCCATCTCATTCCACAGTCTTTCCTACCCCCATGCTCCCTCCCTTCTCTTCCCTTCCCTTTTCTCCTTTGCCCTATCTGGAGTTCATCTAATCTTCCCATGCTCTGACCCCCATGGTGAATCAGCATCCTTAAATCAGAGAAAACATTCAGCATTTGGTTTTTTGGGATTGGCTAACTTCACTTAGCATTATATTCTCCAACTCCATCCATTTACCTGCAAATGGTGCTGGAAAAACTGGAAACCCATATGCAACAAAATAAAATTAAACCCCTATCTCTCACCATATGGAAAGCTCAACTCAAAGTGGATTAAGGATCTAGGAATTAAACCATAGATACTGCATCTGTTAGAAGAAAAAGTAGGCCCAAAGCTCCATCATGTTGGATTAGGCCGCAGCTTCCTTAATAAGACTCCAATAGTGCAAGAGTTAATATCAAGAATCAAAAATTGGGATGGATTCAAACTAAAAAGCATCTTCTCAGCAAAAGAATCAATCAGTGAGGTGAATGGAGAGCCTACAATTTGGGAACAAATTTTTACCCCTCACACATCAGATATAGCACTAATCTCTAGGATATATAAAGAACTCAAAAATCTTAACACCTAAAAAAAAAAAAAACCCCACAAATAACCCAATCAATAAATGGAGCAGATCTTAGTAGGGAGAGTGGGGTGGTGGTGAGGCACTGTGGTATTGGAATGATGGGTGGGAGAGACAGAATAGGGTGGAGTGAAATAATGTTTGGGAGGGTGACCACCAAACTGAAGAAAGTCAGCAACTGTAATCTATTGGATTTTGTGCGGGGCACTGGGCTGAGGGCTTTTGTTCATGATGACACATGTTTTCCACAGCACATGGAGCTATGACTGTCACCAATTTATGAAGGAGAAACCTAAGGGTTAAGAGAGTCTTACAGTGTGTAAGCAAGATAGACCTGGGCTATTCTTAATTTGAATCCTAATTGGAATATATTTCCTATTGATTTTTATAGGTTAAATTAGAGGAGCCCTGGGTCACAAGAGGGAAAGAAAACTTCCCTCTTCTTTCCACAGCCTTCCCTTACTCTGTGTTACTCTGCATAATCCCAGTGGCTCAGGAGGCTGAGACAGGAGGATCATGAGTGGGTGCTAAGCAACTCAGTGAGACCCTGTCTGTAAATAAAATACAAAATAGAGCTTGGGGATGTGGTTCGGTGATTGAGTGCCCCTGAGTTCAATCGCCATTACCAAATAACAAAACAAAGTAAAACAAACAAACAAACAAAAAAATAAGTTTAAACTTCTTTACAGTGTAGACAAGGCTTGCCACCTGGTCAAAAACCTAACCATTTAAACTATTATTTCAATTGCAAAATGTGTTTTAAATTTCCATAAAGGAGATTTCTAAATTACTGTATTGCCCCATAGGGGTGTACTTAATCATGTATACATACATGTAAAAATAGAACTTTGTAGTAAGTTCTAAAATCAGTATCCACTATTTTAATCTAAAATCTCGCAAATTTAATGGTGCTATTACCATGTTCTAAAGTTGTTAAAATCAAATATTATTTTCTAATATTTACAAATGAAAATAACATCAAAATATTATTTTCTAAGTAATGTTGATTTTGTAGTTCCACATAATTCATATCACCTCTTTTTGAAGATAACAGGAGGGAAGATAACAACTTAAACAGTGTAGGAAAAATCAATACCTTGTGCCCAATAAACCCCAAATGTGAGGGAGAGCAAAATATTATAAGATCTATTAAGCACAATTGGATTTTTCCTTTTGGCTTCAGAATTAATTAAGTTTTCAAGGGCTTTCTGAGATACCTGTGCAATATGAGACTCACCAAGTGAAGGATTCTTATTTATGATGATGTACACACAGTATAAATACACTTCTGTTCTTTGCTTTAAAAGAGAATTCAAATGCTAGCTCTTTTATGTTATTTCCATGAATGACATTTTAGGTTTTATAAAAGCCTTCTGAGAATCAGAATAACAAAATAAGTAATGAAAAATTAGTGATGTGGAAGAATACTCAAGGAAATGACTTCAGAGGTCATTATTAAAGTGATTCAGAGGGTAAGAGGATATTGTAAGCTCTCTCTTAAGTACTGTGAAAAGTTTCTGAAACACCCAGACATTTAGGTTCTTACACATTCTACAGTGTGTAGATATAACAATCTGTAGGCTTCAAGGTTGGGGACATGGTGGGCAGTGTGCCCCCAGGTTGCTCACATCTCTTGGGAGAGAAATGCAGAATATAGCTCAGAATTATTGACTGTAGAATGTATTTTCCTGTGAAAGTGTTAACAATTTCTCCCACTAGTTAAACAGATTTAGTTTGTGTGCATATTTACATACACACAAATGTGTGTGTATGTATAATATGGTTAAATATATAATATATGAAGTTTTTATGGATATATATAAGTTTTTTCCCCAAAACAAATGAGTGCCGCATTATCCTATTTAACACCAGGCTGAAAACTTTGAGACTGATTCTTTATGTGGAAATGAGAATGTTA